AGAGCTAGCACAGATATATTCGAAACAGTACGAATGCAAGGCAAAGCAATAGTAACGTTACTATTATTATTACTACTGGCACCAGAATTATCGTCTTAATTATCAGAATTATTATCCTTGCTATACTTATAATAGAAGCTGTCTTAGCTAATCTGTAAGTTACAGAAGCAGATCTTTCTGGCTCTGGGTTTTTTAAATTAACGTTAATTAACAACCTTTTTAAGATCTCCCTAGGTAATTCGCTTCTGGCTATAATTACCCTGCTTTCTGCTACTAATTTGCTTAATTATAGTATTATTTATAGTATTCCGGATATTATCGAATAGAAGCTTAGCGTTGAGTATCTTACTAAGAATATTAAATATTGATTTTGTGCAAAGGTAAATTAGAAGGGACTGAGCATAGTTATCCTATTTATAGATTACTCTCTGGCGAAGGGAATCTATAGTCTTCTGTTAAGCAGTATAGCGCTAGGTAATCTTAGCTACCTCCTTTTATTTCTCTTTAAATTAATAAACATTATAAGTACCCTTATAGATCTTATAGTTCTAAGCCTAGGTATAAATATCACAAAGGATCTGCTTAATTATATTAAGTTGCTCAAATATAATATTATAATAATTATTAATAATACAATAGGTATCTGTCTTTAGAATAGAGCTCAGCTACTGTAGAAGCTCTTTAGTAGTCTTAAAGTACTTATCGCTAATAGTAAGGCTACTAAGGATCTCTGCTAAATCAGAGATTAGAGATAACAGGGCCTCGGTAGTTTAGCAGAGGGCTAGAGACATCTTATAGCTAAGGCTTTTGTAGCTATAGCTGTTATTAGTATAGCTATTATCGGTATTGTTAACGGTTTCGATTAGTAAAGGTCTCTTAGAGACTTAGGACGAAATATCTGGCTTGATTACGTCCTAGGACATAAAGAAATATCCTTTTTATAAACAAAGGATAAAGCAGAAGGTAGTCTAGGTCTTAGTTTTGTTAAAGAATTAAAGGTTTCGAAGTAAAAGGGTAAAAGAAAATAAGATAAAAGGGAGAAGTTTAAAGAAGTTAAGTTTTAAATAATATTAAAAGAAGCTTATATATACTTTGTAGGCTTTTAATTAGCTAGCTTTCGACAGCTAAAAAGGAAAGTTAGTAATTAAGGAAGGTACGCCTAAAGAGGAAGTCTTCTATAGAAGGAAGGTACGACCTATAACAAGAGGGAAGATACCTTATAAACTAGGCCAGGCTATATCTTTCTACCGAAAGATAATCCTCTAGGCAGCGGCCGCAGTAAGAGATATCTAGGAAGTACTAGCTATACTAGTAGCGCTAGGAATTATTAGATATAAATCAATAAGAAGGCCTTAAAGATATAAGCCTTACTAACTAGGCTAGGCCATATCTTTCTGCTGAAAGATAATCCTCTAGGTAGCGGCTGCGGAAAGAGATATCTAGGAAGTACTGGCTAAGGCATAACCTAGGATAAGAGGGAAGATACCTTGTAAACCAGGCTAAGCTATATCTTTCTGCTAAAAGATAATCCTCTAGGCAGCATCTGCGGTAAGAGATATCTAGGAAGTACTAGCTATATTAGTAGTGCTGGGAATTATCAGATGTAAACTAATAAGGAGGCCTTTAAGATATAAGCTATACTAACCAGATTATAGTATATTTATTAAAAAGATAATATTTAATAACGCCAGTAAGGTTGCTTTGCTAGTATTAGTCCTAGATACTATAGTTATCAGTAGCAAACTTATAATCTTTAGAAGTTCTTGCAGAGAATATATCTTTTACGGAAAATATATCTTTTGCAATATATACCGATTAATGTATATCTGCTTATTTTTATATTTAGTAAGGTAAGGATTATTTATTGATTTAATAACAGACCTTTTAAGGCTATAGTGCTAATATTTTAGCTAAAACCTATACTTTATAGGGATATTGTATCTTATTAAGGCAGAAGAGGGCTTGTTAAAAAATAAGAGATAGACTTAAAGTATAAAACAGAACCTTGGCCTAGCGACCGCCTATATAGTTATATAATATAATTACGTTAATTATACCTCAGGCTAAGCTAGTAGTAATTTTGCTCCTAAGTCAAAGATATATATCTTTTACTAATGTATCTATGTCTAATTTCTAGTAGGGCCTATACTATAAGACTAAATTAGCTTAATATAGATATTTGACAAAATTAAAAATACTGTTACGATAAGATAATTTACAGGATTTTAAAAATATTATTTGTTCTAGGGTAACTTTTATCTCTAGGGAGTTCTTTTTACTAGAAGTTATTATTAAGTACTGGTCGAATATCGATTTTAGGCCGAGTATAGTTAATAGGCCTACAGGCTAACAGGCCTGCAGGCTGTCCCTATACAGATTAACCCTAGGTACCCGCTTTATCTTAAGCTAGGAGCTAATTAGTATCTAAGAGTTTCTGCTACCTAAACCTAGTTTGTATATCCACTCTGTGATCTTCTTATTTTCTGATACGTAGTTTCTCTACCCTTCTGCCTAACAGCCCTTACTTAAATCCCTGCTAATTTAAATACTGACAATATAATTGCTAGGCTTGCTACTAGATATACGCTAGGTTTAGCACTAGCTATACCCTATTATCTACTTCCCTATATCCCCGAATATATTAATCAGATATATAAACTAGACAGCCTTAAAGTATTATAAGATACTACCCTAATTATTCTGCTAAAAGCTAAGCTACCCCTATCTTTCTACCCAGAGATAATTATCTATAATCTTTCTGCTAAAAGACCTACTAGATAAAGAGAGTTTTTAGAGGTTAGCAGGCTTTTTAGAAGCCTATAGGCTTTTTACTGGCCTATAGGCTTTTAGACAGTCTATAAAATCTACTACGTCCTTTCTTTCTAATTAATTATAGATCTTAAGCTACTATCTTCTAAATATTTTATACTTTTATAAATAGAGATAAGGCTTTTAAGATATCTAAGCTACTAGCGGCTAGTTCCTACTCTTACTTATATCTTAATTCTCTTAGCTTTCAGCAGACTAGGTATCTGTTTTTAATAAAGATACCCTACCAGACTCTTTGTTAGATATACCTCTTATAATTCCTATTAACCCCTTACCTAGTAAGGCTTCCTACCTACTTCTACCCTCTAACGCACTATCTAATATATACTCAGTTGCCCCTTTAGCCAGTGCTTTATATCTTCTGAATTAGCTAGGAGGCCTAAACCCTATCCTACAGGAAATTTAATAAGTTACCCTCTACTACAAACGTCGCTATCGTACCTACGCTATCTATAATATAATAAAGGATTTAGAGCTTTTTTTATCTTGGTAGCTTTAAACCGACTATAAACGTATAAGCAGAATACGCTAGGATACTAAACAGAGCTCTAGCTTATAGCAGAGATTTCAACAAATAGCAGAGGCAGATTTAGGTATACTAAAAGTACTCTGTTAGGCTTATCAGACTATCCTAAAGCATCCTAAAGATGATAGTAGTTTGACTATAATAGGCCGCTATTTTAAAGGCCTAAGTTATAAGACTTCTTGTAAACAGAATAAGATTAAGAAGTTTATAAAACCGGTAAGCTACCCTATCTATATACTATTCTAATAAATATCTCTAGTTTACTAATTAAGATATTATTTATAGGTTGCTAATTATACTACCTAGATTACTACTGCTTTATAGAACGCTGCTTAACTACGTCTTATCTCTTAATCCTGTCTTCTATTTTAACTACTTATATATCCTAACTTTATTAAGTTAATATAAATAGTACAACAGATATCTTTAAGGCTTCTAATTCTAAGCCCTAAGGTTATAAAGCTTAAGCTTAGCCTTATAGTAATACAGTACTAGGAGAAGATACTAGAGTTACTTTCTAGGGAAAATAAGCTTTTAATTATCCTTAACTGCTAGATCTCTCTATTCTAGCAGGCCTTTATAGTAATTACTGCCTATTTTATTAATACTAATTAGAACTATCGAGAGCTCTTACTTAGCTTTAAGCCTCTTTCTGGGGAATATTTAGGTCCTAACCTTACAAAGGTCCTAATTATAATTCTGCAGAAGTATAAGCTATTAGACTAGGTCCTTACGGTTACTACTAACAATATATCTAATAATAAAACATTAATATAAAGTCTTTATAAATCTAAGGAGCTAGAGCCTTTTCGTAAGCAGATACAAATCGTCCGGATTCTATATCTTGTATATATTATACAGCTTACGTTGAATTAGCTTCTCGGCCGTATAAAAGTATTGCTAAAAAATAATATAACTGAGTACTGGTTGAATAAGAAGGACTAAGTAATATATAAAAATCAGAGGAAAAGAGAGATTATCTATACTCTTAAGAAAGTAAGTATTAATTCTTTCCTTATATTAGAGAAAGACTAAATACTAATATACTATATTTCTAGGTTCGTAGTCTTATAATCTATATTAATACAAGCTCTAAACGTTATAAGAGCTTTCTGAATCTCTAGCCTAATCAATACAGAATTCTTCTAATTTAAAATGTTAGAATACGCTAGAACTCTACCTTTCTGATGCTTTGCTGAGCAAAACGTCTACAGCTTTTCTTTGATTAATTCTGTCTTAAAAAGAATACCTTATACCTTATACTTAATTAAGAGTAATAGCGCTAAGTAGATTATCTTCTTTAGATTATAGATCCTTTCTTTAAATATATAATAGCCCTCTCCAGAATAAAGAATATTATAATTTATTTAGTCTTTATAATTTATAATTAGCTATTTAATTATCTAGAGAAATCTATTAATTAACTTAGTAGGAAAAGGGTTTCTTAGAAGAAGCTAATACTTACTGCTCTTAAGGCTATACAGGAAAAGCTTAATAAATACTATTCTCAGACTTATAACTCTTATAGTGATCTTTTTGCTATTGTAATAATCCTTTATCCTTAGAAAAAATTAAGATTCTTTACTACCCGCAAATAGGTATAAGGCAAAAATAATCCTATGCCCTAGGACTACAGATATCGATAATGTCTACAGCGGTATTTTAAGACCTATAAAAACTAACAACTTAATATCCAGACTGATAATCTATATAAGAATAGCTCTAATTATAAAAGCTTTGATAATATTAAGTATTTAGTTGAAAGCTTAGTAGTAGGAGATCTACAGCAAAACAATCAGGATGAAGTTAGTCGGTATCTTAACGCAGGTCTGTCTCTAATTATTCAATATAAGAAAAGCTATTACTAAGTATTTATAGGAATACAAAAAGCAAAGAGTATTCTAACTTACTGGAAGGATTATTAACAAGAATATCCTTTACTTATATATCTTGTAAAGGACTTTCTTGCTGCCCCTGTAACTGGTATAGGTGTTGAGCGTCTATTCAACTTAGCTCGTAATATTTGCTATTATCAACGTAGCTCACTAAATCCTACAATAATTCAGGATTTTATAATGCTAAATTACACCTCTGATTTTAAGAATAAAACTGCAGATTTAATAATTCAAGAAGTATATCTCTTACAACAAGATATAGAAGCAGAGCGAGAGGAAAGAAGAGTATCAGGAGAGAAAGATAAGCTAGAGCCTATTAGTAATAATAAGGAGGAGGATATAGCTTAGGTTGAATAAGCCTTAGTAGTAGCTGTAGCAGATTAATTACTTAGTATACAGAGGACTATTGCTTATGGATCTAAGCCTAATTAAGATAATTATTCTGACTTAGGATTACTTCCTCTACCAGAGACTCAGCTTTAAGTATTAGGTAGGAGCCGCAAACGGGCAAGACGCTATAATATGTTTGAACTGTACTAGTTAGACTTTAATAAAATTCTCTTTTTGAAACTATAATATATATCTTTAAGCTTTAATTATTATAATATAATACCTTAGAAATATAAATAACTTATACACTATTTAAATTTTCTAGTGTTTGTCTTGTTTACAGGCCCGTAGGCCGGGCCCGAAAGCCCGCAGGCCTTAGATTGAGGCCCGAGCCTGTGGGCCGGGCTTTACTAGCGGCCCGAAGCCCGTTACTAGCGGCCCGTGGGCCTTAGGTATAGGCCTGAGCCCGTGGGCCGGGCTATCCGGCCCGCCAAATTAGCGGCCCGGATAGGCCCGAGCCCAAAAGCCCGCGGGCTTTGGCAAGGCCTAATCAAAGCTCTTGCTTTGATATTCCTAGGCACCGATATATATACTAAGGTAGCGCGCAGCAACTTGTCAAAATCCTGTGACAATATATAAGGCCTAAAAACAGATCTAATACAGACTGTATTTAAATACTTAGTATATTTGTTCTGTTTACACTAAAATAGGGACCCACTGGGTCCCTATGTAGGTTATAGAATTAGACCTAAAACCTATTTTGGGCTAGGTTAGGTTAGGTTAGGTTATGGTTGACATAGGTTCTGGCAATGTCTATTTATACAATGTAATCTGTAGTCTGGTCTTTTAGAGATACTTTAGGACAGCTTTAATATACTCCTTATACTCTTTGAGAGACTTACTGTAGATAAGTATATTGTCTATGTATACTGTAGTGTAGATATTAAGACAGTCTCTTAACGTATTATTAATATAGCACTAGAATATTATAGGTCTGTTAGTTATACCGAACAGTATTACTGTATATTTAAACTGCCTATATCTTATTTTAAAGGTTATTAGGCCCTCCAAGTCTAGGTATATCCTAATCCGGTAAAAACCTTATTAAATATCTAGTTTTATAAAGATTATAGCCTTGCTTACTTACTGTAGAAGTTTGTCTACTAGTAGTAAGGGGTAACTATCCTTTTTTAGTATGAATATTATACAGATATAACTAAGATCTAGTTAAAGATATAACTAAGATCTAGTTAAAGGCTTAGTAACCCTAAAAAACACCGGATCTTCGGTATACTAGGTAGCCGGCCGGATCTTCGGTATACTAGATAACCGGCTAGATAGCTAGAATACTAGCTATCCGGTATAACTATTCTAAGGTTAAATAGGGCCTTCTTTCCTTTAGAAATATAATAACATAATAATCAGAATCCTCTATAATTAAGCAACCAAGCCCTTAATCTTATTGATTACTTAGTAATCAACTATCTATAATAATTCCTTCTCTATCTATATTCCCCTAAGCCTAGTAAGACCTTTACAGTCTTATAGGTTATGAGCCCGGATTATCTATATCTGGCTATACCACCTTTTTATATATACTTTTTGCCCTCTTTTTATTTTATTCCCTGTTTGGGAACTTTTGAAGCCTAAAAATATTAAATCCGAGATACCCCCGTATTTCGGCCGAAATCTCAACAAACCTCAAAAATATACAAAACCTATTGATATATATATATATATATATATTATATACTATAGCAAATCTTCAAAAAATTAAGGTGCCTAAGCTCTCAGGCATCGAAAATTATACTATATAGTCAATTAGGGCCTACGCTCTATTGGTTAAAGAGGATTTAGGGTTCGATACCCTAGACCCAGATAGAACAATATCTAATGAAACCACTATAACTCCTGCAAAAAACAGGAAGGAACTAGCTATTATTAAGCTATTATATGACGATAACCCTTTATTATATATAAAGGATGAAACTAGTACTATTCAGGCCTAGAATACCCTAAAGGAATTATTTAATCCTAAGGGTTTTACTACTGAATTCCTAGTATTAAAAGAATTTTTTAATACTACTCTGGGAGATTTTGACACTATAGAGCAATACCTTAATAAGGTAAAACTGCTTATTAGTGACCTAAAATCTAAGGAGATTATACTACCTAATCAGGTAGTTATTGCCTGGATTTTAAATAGTCTAGACGAAGACTATTCAGGATTTATACAGAATATTACGTAATCTCTACATAATGATCCTAAGGTATATACTATTGATTCATTAATAAAATCCCTTATTGATAAATTACGTAGTAAAGAAGATAATACTATTTATAGTATTAATAACTCCGTCTTTAACAAAAACAAAAATAATACAAACAAAATCACCAAAAAACTATAGAAAAAACAGCCTTATAAAGGCAAATTCTGCAAAAATTATCACAAAACTAATCATAATGTTAATGATTATTATTTCCTATATCCTAATAAGCGTCTAGATTAGTGGAAATTAATTAATATAAATGATATAAATGCTACAAATAATATAAACAACAAAAACAACAAAAACAACAAAACCAAAAACCTACAAGATAACGATTAAGTTGCTGTTATTAATACTATTCTATCTGATTCAGATAAATTTAATACTATACCTATTCAGGATATTGATATAGAGATTAATAATCTTCTATTAGATCTTAATAATAATATAAGTGTTAATAATATCCCTAAAAATAACAAAAATATACTTACAAATAATAAAGGTTATCTAGGCAAACTGCCCTATTAGATTGGACCTATTTATAATTTTATTATTAATACTGCTGCTACTGTCTCTGTTATTATAAATTTAAATTATTTTTATTATAAATAAGCAGTAAATGAATTAGTAAACTGGGGAAAAGCACTAAAATTACTAATAAAATATAAAGGAACTATTATTATACAGACTAATCTAAACTATATATATATAATGTATAACGTGCTATATATGCCTGAATTAGGTATTAATATACTAAGCACTAATAGACTAAAAGGTATATCTATTTTCAAAGAAAATAGTGTATATATATATAATAATAAAAAACCAACAATAAAAGGATATAAAGATACCCTGTATAAAACCAATACTAATATACTATATCCTAATAAGATATTTAATATAAAATATCAAAATAAGCTACTATATCTAGAAGATAAAGATATAGAGATAAATAACTGGCATAAAAGATTAGGCTATATTGGTCCTAAGGCCCTTAAATATATACTAAGCAATATTATAAATATAAAAATATCAGATAAATACTTATATAAAATAGTTAAAAACTATAATATATACCTAAGATCTAAGGCAAAAAGATATATAAATAAAAGATCTAATAATACTACTCTCTATAAAAGAGGAGAAAGAATATATAGTGATATAGGTGGTCCTATAACACCAAAAATATATAATAACTATATATATTATATAACGTTTCTAGATAAGCAAACCCGCTATCTATTTACTATATTATTAAAAAATAAAAACTAAGCTATTATAGCTTTAAAAAGGATAAAAGCCTTAATAAAAAATTAATCAAATTAGTATAAATATAAAACAACTATTTACTGATAATAGTAAAGAATACATTAATAAACCAATTAAAAATATAACAAACAAATATAGTATTATACATAATACTAGTCCTGCTTATACAAAGGAGCCTAATGGCCTAATAGAGCGTATAAATCTTACCTTATTAAATAAGGTAAGGGCAATGCTGGCTAATAGTAATTATCCTAGATACCTATAGGGTAAAGCCTTATTAGCAGCTACCTATTTATATAATAGAATACCACATAGTGCTCTAGGGTTTAAAACACCTTATAAGTTATATAATAAAACAAAACCCTCTATCGATATATATAATTAATTAAAAATATAGGGTTCTACTGCTTATTATACTATTAATAAGCAAATAACTAAGCTAGAACCTAGGCAGGAAAAAGCTATATTAGTAGGCTATACTGATTATAGCTACTATAAGCTTTATATACCTAATAAAAGGACTACAATAATATCAAGAGATATTATAATCCTAGAAAATAAATACTATAATTTCGATAATATTAAGGATAATATAACTAATATATATCTAAACAAGAATAAAAGGGTTACACTGAAAACCCTAAAACCCTAAACCCTTAATATATAAGATAAATACAAGAGCAAAAGAATATATAAAAATAGCAGAGGATCCCTCTTATAAAATTAAGGTCTAAATACCAATAAAAAATAATATATACTATAATAATAACAATAATAATATACTCTATACTCTGTCTGATACAGCAGTAGAAGCTATATATAGGCCTATATATAGTAGCATATTAAACTTTGTTTTAACTACAACTACTACAACGGAGCCTAATATACTAAAACAGGCCCTAGAAGGCCCTGATAGCCTATATTAGCAAAAGGCCTGTATAGCTGAAAATAATACCCTAGTCAGCCAAAAGACCTGGGATATTGTTGATATACCTAATAATATAACCCCTATAAATAGCCGATGGGTTTTTAAGATAAAACCTACTATAAGCAGAACAGCTAATAATACTAGTTATATTACTAATAGTAATAATACTATTAGATATAAAGCTAGATAGGTTATACAAGGTTTTAATTAAAGATTAGGAATAGATTTCCTAGAAACCTTTTCAACAACATACCGAACAGAATTATAGTATATGCTATTACTAATAGCTGTTAATAAAGGCCTATATATATGGCAATATGACGTTAAAAACGCTTTCTGCTATACTAATATAGATACTGATATATATACTATATTACCAATAGGATTATATAATAATCCTAAATATAATAATAAATATGCAAAGCTTAATAAAGCATTATACGGGTTAAAACAATCCCCTAGACTATGGTATCAATACCTAAAATCAGTACTGAAACTACTAGATTTTGAGGTATTTCTATATAACGAAGGAATATATATAAATAAAAAGGATAATTATATACTAATATGTCACGTTGATGATATACTAGTATTACATAAAGATCTATCCTATATAAAAGCCTTAAAAAACAATATAAATAAATCTATTGAATTAGATGAAATAGGTCAAATTACCACATTTTTAGGTAATGATATATATATTGATTATAAGGCTAAAAAGCTATATATATATCAAACAAAATATATTGATAAATTATTATCTAAATTTAATATATATAACAATAATATATACAAACCAAAAGATATACCTGGAGAACCAGGAATAAAATTAATAAAAAATACTACTACTGCTAGTAATACTGATATAAAAGAATATCAAAAAGAAATAGGCTCTCTACTATATTTAGCCCTAAAAACAAGACCTGATATAGCCTTTCCTGTATCATATTGTGCTAGGTTTATGTTAAATCCTAGTAAAGAATATTTTAAGGCTATATACTATATATGGTGTTATATACTAAAGTATAATAATAAAGGTCTAATATATAACTGCTTAGGTAATAACCTATATATTAAAGGTTATTGTAACAGTAACTGGGCAAATGATATTAATAATAGAAGATCTACTACTAGCTATATATTTAGCCTAGGTAGTAATCTAGACCTAACTAATCCTATATCCTGGAATAGTTAGCTTCAAAAAACAGTAGCTTTATCAAGCTGCGAAGCTGAATATATAGCATTAAAAGAAGCTACAAAAGAAGTAATATATCTGAATAATATGCTTATATATATAAATAATTACCTAAATCTAGGTTATACTAATACTATACTAATAATATTAATAGACAACGAAGGAGCTAAAAAATTAGCTGAAAATCCTGAATTCTATAAGAGATCAAAGTATATTGATATAATATATTATTTTACTAGGAACGCTATACAAAATAACTAAATAAAGCTAGTACCAATACCCTCAAAAGATAATATTGCTGATATACTTACTAAAAATATAATTAAAAATATATTTGAAAGCCATACACCAAAAATAATAACTAATATTCAAAGCTAATCCTTATATATATATACATATATATAAAGATTAAGGGGGGATATGAATATTATACAGATATAACTAAGATCTAGTTAAAGGCTTAGTAACCCTAAAAAACACCGGATCTTCGGTATACTAGGTAGCCGGCCGGATCTTCGGTATACTTAGTATCCGACCGGATATTCGGTATACTAGATAACCGGCCGGATAGCTAGAATACTAGCTATCCGGTATAACTATTCTAAGGTTAAATAGGGCCTTCTTTCCTTTAGAAATATAATAACATAACAATCAGAATCCTCTATAATCAAGCAACCAAGCCCTTAATCTTATTGATTACTCAGTAATCAACTATCTATAATAATTCCTTCTCTATCTATATTCCCCTAAGCCTAGTAAGACCTTTACAGTCTTATATTTAGTAATTACGTTAAGCTTCCTAAAGTCAACGCAGAAGCACAGTCCTCCGCCGAACTTCTTTACCATCCGAGAGCATCAGAGAATCTGGCATCTTAGATAATTGCTTCTAGTTTCTCTTAATTATAGGGAGTAGGATATCTGCAGCAGTAGTCGATATATAAGTACGGGCTCGGTTAGCTTCGACCAGATTAGCTATTAGTTTATTGTATTCTGCTTAGAGGTATCGGATAACGTATTTATTTTTAGCGACTACTTTCTCAGACGTAGTCAGTTTAGTAATTATATAAACCTCGTTAGCTTAGAGGTTATTAAGAGTCTCTTAAAGATGTTTAGCCTTTTTATCGGCAGCTTAGATTTGCTCTCCGGCTTCCTTATCTTACTCCTTAAGGTCCTTACAGACTTATTCTAGATCTTCTAGAGCTAGATTAGTCTCGTATTAGGCCCTAGCCAGTTCCTCTTAGTTATAGGCTATCTCCTCCTAGTATTTCTTATAGTCTATGATCCAGAATTTAAGCTTCTTAAGGATAGCGTTATATACAAACTTAGGGTTATCCTTTATCTAGACCGTAAGGTCTTTTATATTGTTAATCTTATAGACCTTATTCTTGTCCTTCTTATTGTAGAAGACTAGCTAAGGTCGTGATCTACAGGTTACAGGTCGTATAGGTTTATTTGAGGGACCGGCTTCAGTAGGACCGGCTACAGATTCTTCTCTAGGTTGAGATATCTCGTTAGTGTAAGGATGCTCAGATGCTCACAGAGATCAACGTACGGCGTAGCATATAAAGCAAAGGAAACAGTAGCTGTTCGACGAAAGTAATAGCTTGAGGAGAAGAAGAAGCTGAGATAGAACTAAGTACATGTAGGCGTGGATGCCTAAGTAGATGCCATCTACGTCAGGCATCCGCGAACAGTAACAACCTGAGTTCGTTACAGTTAGTTTAGGAGGTTCAGTCAGTTTAAAGTTTAGGGGATTTGAGGTTCAGAGTACTCTTACTGTCAGCGGTACTTTTAGAAAGGTATACTTACTCAGACGAGAGGTAAGAGATAGTAAGTCCTGCTGTCGGTTATAATACGTCGGAACGCATCGAAATAGCCCAGTTAGGATAAAAAAGGGGTTGAAAAGTTAAAAAGATACTTAGTATTATGTAATAGAGGCCTATTGTAAGAAATAAGTATATTGAATACGCGATACTAAGTGTGGAGAAGAGATGAAAACAGTAGGTGAGGCCTCGCAGATAGGCTGCAAGTATCGTACTAAGCCCAAAAGGGAAGTAGGCCTGATCCAGAGTATTACAGCTGTGAGGGTTTGACTCCAAGAGGATGACTCCCATTAGTCTGGCATATATATAATATTGTGAGCTGATAGATGAATTTCTAATTGATGTGAACAATCTTTACAACATATAAAATATACTAGGAGCTGACTACATTCTACTCAAGTTTGCTTGCTATTGGGATTTAGTGACATCATTACAGAGGGCCCCGCGCAACTCTTGGACCAAGCATCTTGTGGATTAGTCATCGTTTATCAACTCGATCCCTATTGTATCGAAATTAAATCTACAAGTGTTAACGTCATAGATTTCAAAACAGACACAGGTGGTTGACCTGGTTATGATGTCGTATTCATAGCTCAGTTCTTTTAATGATATATTTGACGCACCATCATCGCTATTGAATGGCATATTTCGCGCAGCACTACAATTAACTATGGAATCAATCAAGGACGCCGATCGCGGCTTCGTGGCAAAGATCGAACCTTGCATAATTGAGGATATCGATGGCCGTATTGTGTGGAATAATGAGGCATATTCTTTCTTGACATCCACGTCTTGCCCAGAGACTGCCAATTCAAAACTATGGCAACAAGCGCAACTTGTAAGCAAACAAGGTCTATTCAAGGTTACCGACAGCATATACCAGATTCGTGGTTTCGACCTTTCAAATATGACTATTATCGAGGGGATTTGTGGCGTCGTTGTGGTTGACCCTCTTACTTCAGTCGAATGTGCTGAGGCAGCCCTCGATTTATATTACAAACAACGCGGCAAAAAACCTGTGCTTGGAATGATCTATACACACTCACATGCTGATCACTTTGGCGGTGCAAAAGGAATTCTAGGAGGGCACCAGACCAATGCTATCCCAATCCTGGCGCCTCATGGATTTCTCGAACACGCAGTCTCAGAGAATGTTTATGCGGGCAATGCCATGGCTCGCAGAGCGGCATATATGTATGGTGATCAGCTGCCAAAAGGCCCCTTCGGTCAAATCAGCTGCGGTTTGGGTGCAACTGTATCGACGGGAAGGGTGACCTTAGTGCCTCCGTCGGTTGATATCACGCATACTGGCCAGGTGGAGGTGGTCGACGGAATAGAGTTTGTATTCCAAGTTACCCCCGGAACAGAAGCACCTGCCGAAATGAATTTTTATCTACCTCAGCATCGAGCTCTGTGTGTTGCTGAAAATGCGACGCAATGCCTCCACAACGTCGCAACATTAAGAGGAGCGGAAGTCAGAGATGCCCTCGCTTGGTCTTCGTACTTGGACGAGACAATCATTCTTTTTGCTGAAAAAACAGACATTGTGTTTGCTTCTCATCACTGGCCTACTTGGGGTCAAGCAAAGATTGTCGAATTTCTTAGTCAGCAGCGAGATCTCTATGCCTTCTTGCATGGTCAAACTCTACGATTTATAAATGAGGGCCTGATTGGCATCGAAATTGCCGAAAGAATGGAGCTTCCGGCCCAACTACGAGAGGCTTGGCATACGCAAGGATTCTATGGCTCCGTAAGCCACAATGTCAAAGCTATCTACCAGCGATACATGACATGGTTCGATGGTAATCCAGCCCATTTATGGGAGCATCCGCCAACCGAAGCCGCGAAACGTTACGTCTCTTGCATGGGTGGTGTCGAAGAAGTACTCCAAAAAGCGAAGAAATTTTGTGAACAAGGAGATCTTCGCTTCGCCGTCACAATACTCAATCATGCAGTGTTCACTGACCCAGAAAATCAAGAGGCAAGAAATTTACTAGCTTCTACTTACGAAAGTCTGGGGTATGGTTGTGAGAATGGCCCTTGGAGGAACTTTTATATCAGCGGAGCAATGGAGTTACGTGGCCACCAGCCAAAGAAGAATGTTCTGACCGGCCAGACTGGAGTCAGTGAGGCATTATCACTTCATCATTTGTTTGCATCACTAGCAGTTCGGCTAGACGGTTCTCGGGCTCAAGAGCAGGATTTTGTTCTTGATCTCTATGTGACGGATCGAGATGAGCATTGCCGTTTAATTGTCAGCAATGGTGCATTAATTCACCGCACTGGCCAACAAGTTTGCAAGAAGTCATCGCTGGAAAAGGTCAATTTTTCTGGAACTCTTTCATTCCATAAATTGATACAGGTACTCACTGATAACGAGAAAGGCCAAGAAGGGAATATTTTTATTGAAGAACACGGGACCGCTCATACTGGCAAAAATTACTTTCATTGCTTGTCACGCCTAACCCAGCATTCAACATCGTTGTTCCTTAATTTGATTAAATTAGTTCTTTCCTGAAATTGAAAAATCTGTGAGTGTCTCATATGTAGGCAAGAGGCTCAACTTCCTTTAGGCCTATAGAGTTCGTTAGCCAAACACTGGGAAATGCTTTCCGAACGAGATGCCGCATGGTCTTCTGTGAGAAGGCCATCGTGACAAGGATTGCTCCGATGATACATGCAGAAGTTGTATTTATGGTTTCTAAGCTATGGACTTCGGGATCGTGAAATATGTGCTCATTCTGGACCCATTTGGGAATTAAGTATCATCACTACAGAAAGGATTATAAGTTATCCCAGGGGAAGATATTACTAGTACATGTTTTGATTAACATGTTTGTGTGTTAGCTTCTACTACATATGTTAAAGTTTTAGATAGAGAGAGCTGTGACTGAACAATTAGTATGATAAAGCAAGTTAATGAGTGGTCTGCCAGTACAGTAGCCAAGCAATGTAAGTTGCTATTTGCAGTGTACGGTGCCAAACCTTCCTCTCAATTGTTACTTGGATACGGGAGTGGTAGAGGGTGGTAATTAGGTCACAAGACCCTTATGGTGCTCTCCAGCTCTGGGCGTTGATTTATTTGGCCTAAAACAGTTATGATATAAGGTACTGTATTTTAACCAAAGTAAACCGTGGTACTGAGACAGCAACAGGAATATTGATATTCTGAGTTTTTACCTAATACAGTCTAGGGTCTCTTGGTGGTAGGGCTGGAAAGTCATCTAGAGAGTGACCAGTTTTGGGACACTATACCACCAAATAAACTTGAATTGATATAATGGGTATTCTATTGAAGGGTTAGTTATAGGGTGAGTTGATTTCTCGTTCCTGGTACAGAATATGGCCGGTATAGTGCCCTTTCTGATTGTTGTAGATATGGGCTACTTAAGATTTGTTGTTGTTAAACTGTTAGATGGCCATTACCCTGGGTATACCGGTGATAGATACGCCTTTTTAGCCTATACCCGCTATAGGGTGAGTATAGAGCGGGGATATACCTCTACCCATAAACAAAATCTAAAAAGAAATATAGCCCAATATATGGCCACATATACTGAGTAACCTGATGTTTCTTATGCCAGGGTTGTAAGATAAGAGAATCGAAAATTAAATTACGATCAGATGATATGCTTCGCATGGATGGCAAATGTCTTTTTCAGATATACAGGTTCTCGCTCTACGCTGTTGCTTCCTCCTTGACAGGACAACAAGTGCTACGGAATGGCGGCGATGGATCTAGCGAGAAAGTTTGGATTTCTATCAAATCAAAGTATTTTCGCCAACAGGCGGTAGATTGGTCCTCATGCTTTCGTTATATTTGACTTGAGTAGCGTTGTCACTCTGTGTAGGTACCGTGAACGGTAGTCTGGTAGGTGAAAAGGACAAGTCTTAGGCGTTGTCGGCCTCGACCTGCTCCGGCCTGTGTCGGGGCCGGAAGAGCTTGCCCAGATTGCTTGTGTTCAGCGCGACCAGCTTACTTGTCGGCATCAGAAACAGCTCGTCAATCTCCTCCAATGTTTTGTCTTTGGTCTCGGGCATGAAGAACAGCTGGTAAAAGAAGCCCAGTGCCGCCAAGCCACCGAAGAAACCGATCGTCAGGCCGGTGTAGGTCATCGCCTTCTGCATCCCTTCGAAGTTGTATGTCACGATGAATGACCACAGATAAAGGAATACGGAGCAGATTGCCATGCCTTGGCTGCGGGTGTTGAAATCAAAGCTCTCCGCTGGGACTACCCAGGTCAGGCACGAATACGCCCCAAAGAACCCCATGTATATCACTAGACCGGAGAAAAATAAGCCCAGGGCAGTTGCCTTGTGCTCATTGAAATAATCAAGACCACTGTTCGTGTATAGGTAGCCGACGCCCACCAGCGCCAGACCCACGATGAACATCACGATGTTTTGCGCCCACACGCGTCGTCCAAACTTGTCCATCGTGAACACGGCAGGAATTGTTCCCAAGAACAACGCACCACCGCCCACCATCGACATCAGCACTGACTCGCGGTCATCAAAGTTCATCTTGGCCATCAAGTTTGACATGTTGTACATCACGGCATTGATGCCCGTCATCTGCCCGAAGAAGATCATGGCAGTGGCATAGACAAGCGCGCGTCGGTTGCGTGGCTGTCTGACCACTTCCAGGTACCTCATGTGCCATTTCTCATTCGCGGAAGACTCGACATCATGTTTGACTGTGAGTTCCATCGCAACGTACTCGTCCAGGCTTTTCGGGTCCTCCATGTTGCGCAGCGACTTCCACACCTGCCACGCGCGCCCATATTTGCCCTTGGATACCAGCCATCGGGGTGATTCTGGCAGGAAGCTCATACCAACCAGGAGAATCGTCGAAAACAAGAGAGACGAGCCCAGCATCCAGCGCCAGCTTCCTGACGGTACGTCAAAGAATACACCACCGGCGGCGTATCCGATGATCTCTCCGAATGCGATCATCAGCTGGTACACCGAGACCAGGTTGCCACGCACCTCTGGCGGCACACACTCTGAGATGTAGATACCGACACAGCCACCTTCGATTCCAATACCGATGCCGAGAATGAATCGGCCCGCAAACAGCATGGCCACACTGCGGGAGCCGGCACAAAGTCCGCCGCCTAGTGTGTACCACAGACATGAGATGATAATCGAGTTGCGGCGTCCGAAGTAGTGGTTCAGCGGTGTCATGATGATCGCTCCGGCCATTGCGCCCAGCGGCATCAGTGAAGAAATCAGCGAAATATCGGTGGCCAATTTCGGGTCGTCCATGCTCGCCCACTCGCCAGACGCGATGAAATGCTTCCGGATACCAGGCAGCGCGCCCGAGATCACCGACTGGTCTAACCCACTCAGCATGCCGCTAAACGCCGCGAACACGCCCAGTGTGATAACTAGCGTGCGAGGGCTCTTCATGTGCACTGGGATCTGCGCGTAGGCCACCCGGTCATACAGTGTTTCGTTGGCGAGATACTGCTGGCTTTGTAGGTCGCGTGTCTCGATCTCGTGCTCACGCTCCTCAGGCGTGAGTTCATCGCTGAACTCTTTGCCCACGGCATCGGGTTTTTCCTCGTACTTCTCGCTCATATTGAGAGTCGGTCGAGTCAATATGATAAAAGGGTAGTGTGGGGGGTCAGAATGGAAGAGAGAAAATAATGGTAGGTGAGGCGGCCCCGTTGCGCTCTATATAATCCCTGTTTCGCCGAAAAGTTTGTCTACGGGAGAGTTTACTACGAAGTACCTTTCCCCAATCCCCGGCCTCCGTGCCCCAGACCCCACAGGTCCCCCGGAGTATCCGCCAATGAAGTCTTTTCTTTCTTCTCTGGAAAGGTTTATTGCATATGTATCAGGTTTGTATTATTATGGGGCCGTGTGGATAAGAACGGGGAATGCTGCGTATCAGGTATCAGATCCAACATTGCCACCAGTGGCTGCCCCAGCATCTACATGATGGAAGCAATGCATTTAACGATTTCAAATCCGACCCAAGATGCGGAGGAAGAGTCAGGGCAATTTTAATCACAACAATAGTAGAAAGCTCGAGGCTAGGGGTTCTTGAACAGCTAATCGAAGTAGGTCGTTAAAAACACAAGCCCTGTCCTTGTTGGTATGACCGGAACCTCAAGGCCCAACATTCCAAACTCGATGGAGTAATAGATGAGAGACGCCTCAATACGGAGTACTCTGAGCCGACTGATACCGACAAAAACCTTCTTCGCCCCCGCTCGGAAGGAACAGGCACGGGCAAAGTTACGGGCAAACACATCCAATTACTGAGTCGGACGGCTCAGCAGGACCGGGGTTGACTGGGGCCCCGACTATATATTCTCCGAAATCTACCCGATCGGAACTCAAACCCCAGGAAATCGAAGCCGAAAGTGACTGACCGAGATACCGAAACAGAATCTGGGCTGATCCGGTACGGGCTAATATCGATCTGACCACGCAGTAAGCCAAGGAAAAGGCCCCAGGCCAAGTTTTTCAATTTCCCCGGCGCCACGGGGGCGACAACATGATCAGAAGGAAGAATAAGGTGCTAAAAACCTAAAAAGGCAAAAGCTTCTACATCTGACCAATAGATCCCCTTTTGATGTGCAAGTATACCTCCGATCCGTGGATGATATCCAACTGTCAGGCAAATCAGGTACTTTGAATATTGAGCATTTCAGGAAGAATCAACGGTAGCAATACTCGTATACAAGAAAAGCAGCACCATGCAGACGCCCGACACAAAGTTTCGCCGAAAATATTCCGAGCCCGCGACGCCAAGGGAACAGCATGATATCACCAATGCTTAGGCAGATTGGAGAAATTGGGGTCATGCATGCCGGACACGGCAAGTTTCGTCCACACTAACCAAGTGTCTTAGCAAGGACCCCCTGCCAAGCAGTTCTAGAATAATTTCTTGCTTGCATGACAAGGACTGTCGCTTCGAGGTTCCTCCGAACTAGATTGCAGTGAAATTCATCGAGGTGCCCCACGGAACTGACTCTCAATTCTGCGTCTTCGGGGAAAAGAACGTTAATTTCAGCAGGTCATTTCCCGGAGCCGCCGGGGAGTTTGTGGACGGTCCCCGCCTTTTGCAGCCCGAGCTGTCACAAGGCTCAGTGGGGTCGAGAGATGGTAATAATGAACTGTGGGGTACCTTGTAGATGTGAAGGGACTGGATGCTTATGCTCATTTTCAAGATTCCTCTCCGCGAATCGTCTACTCGTATAGAGTAAGTAACACAAAAGAACCATATGGTTCTAGTTCTTACATGGAACCCTCTATGGCCATGGCAAGCTGCAATATTGAGTCTACGGCATGCAAGTAACTTTGGTGCTTATCAAATTGCAAGTCAACTCCCTTGGCAGATGATTTTGGCATAATATGAGTCCAATAAGCTTGCATTGGCAATGTTGTCTGTTCAAGTGAGTATATAGCAGAGTGGTATTATTATTTATTTATGGTACATTTATGGTTGATGGCTATCCGTAGTAACCTATACGTTCTGCATAATTCCTGGCCGCACACCCTCCAAGATAGTGGAGACTTCATCCCACAGCTTGATGCGTGCCTGTCGACCTTCGTCGCTACGCACAAATGGAGAAAGTGCCGTATTTTCAACATGTCCGTCACTCATATATGCGCCGTGGCTTTCGAGCCCGCTGGTGATTCCTGCGACTAGAGTACGCGATCCCACCTCGGTAGAGCGGGCGGGAACCAGCTTGAATAGGTAAAACGACCACCCACCCTCGCGTCCCAGGGCTGAATGGCAGAGGCCAGGGTTGATCATGTTGATAATCACCTCTGATCCACGTACTCGACCAGCGAGTTCTTGGACCAATAGTACTTCAAGGAGTTTCGACAGCGGATAGCGCTCGCCCATCTTTGCTGTTGGCTGATCGGAGAGGGTCTGGAGGATGTGATCAGACTTCCATTCAGGGAGACCGACCCAGGCATGGACTTCGCTGACCACGAATGTGAGGCGTGGCTGGCTCTTAGGGATCTTCTTGCCAGTGGCCTTTAGCACTGGAAGGACAAAGAGCGAGAGTAACAAAGTATTGACAACGTTCACAGTAATAGTACGCTCAAAACCCTCAGCTACTTCAAAGTTGGAAGTTGCAACTGCCGCGTTTAAAATGGCCGCATCGAGTCGGGCGAGTTTGGTGATACGATCGCCAAAGGATACAACCGACTTGTAGGAGGCCAAGTCAACTTCCCACACCTCACAGATACCAGACCGACCAGTCGATATCTCGATATCCTTCTTGGCCTCTTCGCCGGCAGGTACATTGCGCACTGCCAGAATGACACGGGCAGCTCCTAGACGAACAACATGGCGGGCCGCTTCAAGTCCGAGGCCGACATTGGCGCCAGTAACGAGCACCGTCTGTTCAGCGAAGGACTGCTCAGGGTAGGACGGGCGGACGAAGAATTGGGAGTAGAGAAAGCCTGGCATCTTGTCGAATTATTCGAAAGAATGGTAAATCAATTGCACCGTCTGAAATCGGACAGGAAATTGCGGATTTAAGTAGGTCTTTCGTTTGCAGGCAGAAAGTCATGACGAAGCGATGCGCCGGAGATTGGACGGCGATAAGCGTGCTCTTCCCTGGGTAGCAGCTTGGCTCCACGGAATCGACTAACGCCGAGAAGCCGAGAACCACGCATTTTGACCGGTGGCACGGAGAAGGGTTGTGAAAAGGGTGACTGTTGGGCGATGGAGGTTGAGATAAGGTGAACAGGGAAAAGGAAAGAGAAGTCGTCAGCTGCCAAGCCACGAGTGCAAAGAGAGCAAACACAGCAAATGTACCACAAATGTACCCTTCGGTATAGCTAAAGATTGGGGGATATGGATTGTAATTGATATTCTGAGGTAGATAGATCATAGGTAACTGTCTGGACTGTACCTAGTTAGTAGCTGTAACTTAAAGTTGCCTAGTAACTACTAGTTAAAGGGTATACTCACGCGATATCTACACGCAGCTAACATTACAAGGGCTTCCCTTGTACATAGAAACCAGTGCAATATGGCTCGTACTTGATAGACGCTTCGCAATAATTATTCTTGACTCTAACAGCAGCATCTCTAAGCAGGGGGAGGAGGATGAGGAACACAGGCACGAAATATTCCAACGCTAACCCGATCATCCGTGCTATGTTTCTGGCCTGGGCCAACAACTCGGTGCACGCAGGCGCGAGCCTTGGTTCTCCCCATTATACGCTGCAATCGAGTTCCTACCATTACAACCACTTCATCTGGAGCCGTAGGAACACGCAAAAAATCAGCCTCGCGACCTACACCGTCGCTACCAAGCTCCTCTGTGGATTCAAGATCCGCAACCTCTAGTCCATCACCTTCGTCATCCTCCCGAATCAATATCGTAAGCGTGCCACCATCCATGTGCGGAGGAGAATAATCGCCGTCCCCGGTGATCATCCGTTGAGGGTTATAATATTGTATACCTACCGACTCATAGTCAAGCGACGGGGTCCCCGTCAAGGGTATATCCGACTCGAGAACGTCACAAAAGACTAAGTTAAACAACTGGTCTTGAGAACGCTTCCAGTTCTGATTATCACAAAATGAGTTCGAGTATTTGATATTTTGGGGAGGTGAAGGGAAGTTCATACATCATGTATTGCTATGACATGGCGAAAAAACTCGGCTGGGGGAGGAATACAACCATCTCGCTGGTCGTTCTTCCGGAAGAAGTTGATGCCTTCTTTTGGTATTGGCGTAGTTCCACGAATGAGTTCCGTGCCAAAGCCTGAATACCCTTTTGTTCGTTGTTTTACTTCAGTTGGGAGCTGAAAAAAGCCTCGGGCCTAGGGAATGTTAATATGCAGTGAACGGAAAGTAAACGTCGGCATCAGGAAATTGAAACCGACCTCGCGCAATAGGCCTCCAGCAACTGCCTGCTTCAGTTCGGGAGCCCATAAACGAAAGGCGCCGTATTTACGTAACGCATGTCGCAAATTTTCAACAGTTGCGGGGTCCTGCTTTGCCGAAAGGTCAATAATAGGGAGGGTAGTCATGGTGAATATCGTTGATAAGAGTGCGGGGAGAGCTGAAGTGGTTGGCGTAAAGCAAAGTGGGGTAGAATAGTTTAGTTTGGTAGCTTCATAACTTCTATGCGAGTTACTTAAGATAGATTATCAGGTGAGAATATACGAGAAACGGTTTCTAGCAGTCAGGCCCAGTTAACTGTGGTTGCATAATGAAACTGTAACCGCGGTCTCGGTTTTTTAGATATTACTGGGGTTTTCGGTTTTTGGCCTTGAGCGCGACCTTCCTTCTACACCTTAGCACGTGCCCCATTACCCACGAAATGGTAATTGCAGCGAAATGAATCAACCGGTGCCAAAAAAACTCAGGTTGATCTGGGGCCATAGATCGGAAGTCAAACCATGCGTCGAGATGTTTTTACAAGCGGGAAGTGCAGGAAGTACTACCGCCGGCAACCTCTTTTCCCTCATGGATCGCCTTGAGGATAAAGGTAAATGCCAATCGATTATGGACATATGACAAATAAATGATTATCTCCTGGAATGGGAGCTGGAATCATTGCTTGAGGGTTCTTCTTGATAGATAGATCGATTGAGAATCTAGCTCAACTTAAGAATAATTTCATATTTTCATAAACTAAGAAAGTAACCCATGTACTCGGCAACACACGAAACAAATTCGGACCGAGCCCCTTATAGAAGCCCGCGAATCCCTCCTTCACCCAAATCTGCCTCATAGCATCTGTCGTCCCACGGTACAATAAATGAGCCTCATATGTTTGTAACCGGGATCTGACAACTTGATATGGATACGTGACACAACCAGCAAAGACCTTGGACAACCCAGAGAGCACGAAGAAATCAATATTTCCAAGTCGCGCAAGGCTGGGCTTCGCCTGGACACTGTCACTCAACCCCCTTTCCACGGGATCATCCAGGCGCATTGAATCCGATCGAAGAATTTTAAGTCGTTCATATGCCATAAATTGGAGGGCACCGTGACTAACACCGAAAAGAGCCGGTACGAGACCGCGATAAAACCCCTTTACGCCCTCGGTTGCATAGATCTGCTTTACCCCGGATGAGAGTGATGTATATGCGCCCGGGACCTGGGAGCCGGTCGATAGCATTCGGGTTTTGATTACCCATATTGGGTTTGTGAGGGCCGATGTTATAATCCCTGTGGTTGCTAGATTAGAATCGTAGCCATAAAGCACTTATTCTCCGAGCGTAGCTCGGGCTTCGGAAGCATTGCATACCTGCAGTTCCCGATGTCAGAAAGTAGTCCGAGGATGTCAGTGGCCCTTGGGCCCCGTCTCCATCTCGTGCTCGGTATCTACCAACAATATCCTTCAAGCTGCCGTAGCACAGGAAATATAGGCCCCAACCAGTCGAGTTTCCGACCAGATTCGGACCCAATCCTCTGTAAAACGCCGCGAGGCCACCCTCATGACGCGCGATTTGACGGATAATACGTAACGAGCTGCCGAGGCGCGAGGAATGAGATCGATCAACTATACACCCCAGGAATGTTAGACCAGGGCTGACCGCATAAAATGGTCCCTCGGGGAGGGGGTAATTTGCAGACATACCTTGGAGTCTGATCTTGACCAAGTCAAGTGGATGGAGGGAGATTGTCGAAGCTATACCTGCTGTGAATCCTGCTACGGTCTCCACAACAGATGAAGAGAGGCCATTCTGACCAGTCATGAAAGTCCCCCAACCGAAGCGCGTCGGAAGTTAGAAAGAGCAGGTTGTGGTGTACAATGAGGGTGGTTGCGCAGGTGGGTTCGTTTTTGCCAGGCGGTCCGCGGAAGATGACGGAGTCACGGCCCAAGGTAAGCGCGTTCAAACTGTCGAGCAATCGAGCATTCGCAATGATATTTCCCTATCTTCTGGAGAATACAAGGAGCAGTGGAGGAGAAAGTAATTGCGCACGATACATATACGGGGAGACTAGAGGGGGTGTCAAGATAAATTGCGGTATACGGACTGGTAGAGTTATCGCGCGGCCAATTGTAAACGGAACATAAAAGCGACAGATAGATGATTATAGTCGATTGATTTAAAAATACAAATGGTGGGTTATAATTTCATAGCATAACCCAACCTCACAGTGCTCAGATATTGTGGTTTCCAGAAAGATCCTATCTCTCGGAGAAGAATCTCTCTGGCCGGTCAAGGCTGGGGGACCCATTTTCCCAAGGCACACTGGCATCTCTCACATATCTAGATCATCATCCTGAATGTGCGTCTGTCGGATTTAAGCCAGGGGAGAGAAAAGCCTAATCATTATGTTAGATCTCAAAATGTGACTCGGGTGAATTGAGGGAGAGGGTTCGGGAAGAGTTCGGGCTGGGTCGCGTAGGGTCGGATCGGATCGAACATACTTGAACAGGGAGGGCTTGGGCTCGCTGTATGAGTAGCCTGTTGGTTTCAATCGCGTTAGTCACTTTGAACGTATGGGAGAGATGGTGAGTGGTTCTTGGGGCATCGATGAAACATACCAAGGTAGATAATGAGAGGCAGGTAGCCGCTGGCAGGTCGCAGTATGTTAGCCCGGTCGTGGAACAAGCAGAATATGATATCGGTATCGGTATAGGTCTCACTAGTGAATGGCGACGCGGGAAATATCAATAACCTTGGAAACACGTTCCTAATGGTGAAAAGAAGTCATGGTCAGTCTTCATGTACGGGTGTTCGCAGAATCGATGGAAATGGCTAACCTTGGTCTCTTCGGAAAACTGAACCATTTTGAAGAATGTGTGAGTGTAGAGAAAGGAGGAAAAGGAGTGGGCGAATGGATCCGTTGGTAGGAAGTCGAGTTGGGTAGATGGAGAAGAGGACGTCGCGGGAGCGGAAGGTGGCTCAAATCAAAAGTTTTCGGCAGTCGGAAAACCCCATGATCATCCAAGCTCCCAGCTTCTACCCATCCTTACCCTCTCCCAACCTGACGCGTTCTTCCCACCCCACAAGGACAAGTCGATAATTGCAAATCTTGAAAATTCGAGGCCAGACCGATTTCATCTCATAGGCTCTCACAGTTTTTCGATTGACCTCCCGACGTGATGTCCGGCGCAAGGCATTGGTACGAAACCAAGATCCCCTCCCCCCCTTCTGATCGCAGACCAGCCAAGGAAAAACAGAACTAACAGATTGACAGGGAACAAGACAAGGAGGCGACGGTATATATTGGTAATTTGGACGAACGAGCTTCAGACAGCCTAGTATGGGAGCTCATGCTTCAAGCTGGGCGCATCGTGAATGTCCACCTACCAAAAGACCGCGTGACGCAGTCGCATCAAGGATATGGCTTCGTGGAATTTATTAGCGAGGAAGATGCGGAGTATGCTTCGAGAGTTATGAATGGAATTCGCTTGTTTGGCAAACCAATCCGTGTGAACAAGGCATCGGCAGACAAACAGAAGTCCGTGGAAATCGGGGCAGAACTCTTTGTTGGAAACTTAGACCCAATGGTCTCCGAGCAAATGCTCTATGACACCTTTGGCCGATTCGGCAATTTGGTCAACCTACCCAAGGTAAGAATCACTCTTCCTCTCTTCGTGCGAACATGGTACTCCGTCCGAATCGAACTAATCGCTTTCTTTCTTTTTCTCTAGGTTGCTCGCGACGACAACAGCCTCTCCAAGGGCTACGGATTCGTTTCCTTCGCCGACTTCGAATCCTCCGATTCTGCCATCGCCAACATGAACGGCCAAATTCTGATGAACAAACAAGTAACCGTTCAATATGCCTACAAGAAGGACGGCAAGGGCGAGCGCCACGGTGACGAAGCCGAGCGAATGTTAGCGTCACAAGCTCGGAAGCACAACATCCAACAACCGACCCAGCAGATTGTCGTTCCCCCGCCGGAGGACCTCCAGGAATTCCAAATGGTGACAGCTCACGGCCCGTCAGCACTGGCCCCCCACAGACTCCTGATATGGGAGCGGGGAGAGGTATGCCTCCGATGGGATATCAGAATGTTCCTCCTCCTCCGCAAATGCGAGCCGCGCCGCCTGGTGCTCCTCCCCCCCTCCCTTGCTGCTCCGCCACCGGGTTTACCGGCTCGACCGCCGCCTTCTCAAGTGGGATACGGTGGTCCCCAGGCATACGGGGCTCCGGGGTATAATGCCGCGCCGCAGCAACCACCGCCGGGATTTGCGCCTCCAGGGTTCGGTCCGCCAACAGGTGCCACTGGTGCGCCTCCTCCATTACCGCCTGGCTTCCAGCAGCCTGGATATGGAAATGGCCGATGAGTATGAGTTATCTTGGGATTTTCCGACTTTGAACCCTTTCGTCACTCTCAATACCCTCATTGGAACTACTTTTGTGACGGGGCTTCCCTTCCGGACCTGCGTCAAGACCCTATAAGAACGGCACCCAATCTGATCCCATTTCAATAACATTCGCACTTCTGCCTTCAGAACAGAGATCGCAACCCGGCAGAGACATTGGGACTATGGCTATGTCTATCGCTGGGTTTCTGACCGACAAGATATGATGGCCTTGCAAAATCCTGCCCGGGCTCGCTATTAAGGCTTTGGTACATATCCAGGTCAAGGGATCAAGCCACAACTTTAGTTGAAAAGCCTCAAGTGAAGTTACCTTTAATGAACCAAAAGAATTATGATAATATGGCGCACGTAGATGTAGCTGTATCCAATTACAGGGATCGAGATGTAATATCTCTAAAACGCATGGCTTAGAACTATATACCATGCTGACAGGTAATCACCCAAGAATGGAAGGACAAGACTAGACGATCAGACAGTGCATATCTAGGGAGTTCGAAGGAAATGATATCAATGTCGATAATAATGAGAGTAGCAAGTCGATGACAAATAGAAGAGCTTAGCCTCGCTCCACAAAGAAAGGAAAAAGAAAAGATGCAGCGTAAGCAGTTATAAGCATTGTCTCAATCACGAAAACGAGACAAACTTCGGATCTCTCGGCCGCCCATCAGGCCCAATATTATTTTTCGCAAATCGTTGTTCGGTGTATATGCGTCGCGCCTCATCAAAGTTAAC